CTCTGAAGTCAGGCCTTGGTTGGCTCCTGTTGAATGCTTCATTAGCATATCCCTCGACCAATCAGACAAACTTCCCCATTTAGAATCACAGCAAAGCTCCTCCTTCCAGCCCTTCATGGCAGCGCCTTTTGGGTCCGGAGCTTTCTCTCGTCTTGGTTAACTTCCTTTGCTTGTTCATTCTTCCTTGTGTGCATGCTTCATTCTCCCTGGTTGTGAGGCCACCCAGCAGGGTGAAAGAGCTGTAGCAGTAAGAGCTGCAGCACAAACGAGCTGTGACATCTCTAAGGAGCTTGGGAAAGGAAAAACCTGCAGTGTTTCCTGGGTATGAGGCACAAACCCGAGCCCTTAGCCACAGCCTTCTTAACGCCCGGCTGCCCCTCGCGTCACTGGATTCCTGTGCTGGGTCCTTACAGAGAGAGGCCTGAAGGTGAGCGCTAGATCATGCCGCTTTCCCCAAGTGAGAAATGGCCTCACCTTCCTGACCCTCCCTGGCCTTGGTGTCTCCAGGGTTCCTGAGCAGAGAGCAGAGATTGTCCTATCACCGTGGTGGCACTGTGCGGCCTGCTCCTCTAGAGGGCGCCAGACCTCTCTAGGGTCCTCCCCTCCCTCTGGTCTCTGGGCAGCTGGGGTCTGCCTCCTCTCTGGAGGGTGTCTTGGGGAGAAGCAGCCTGGAGCGGGGCCCAGCCCAGGCCCTGTGGTTGGATTCAGGATCACCGTCCTGTCCGCTGCAGTCTGGAAAGGGTGGAAATGCCAACTTCCTTGTGTGTCTGGAGCCACTTTAAGTAGCACTTAACGACCTTAGTGCAAATTTGGGGTCTGCAGAGGTCAATAGCATAACTATGTTATGTTATGTTATGTTATGATGTTATGTTATGCCAATTCCTCCATCAATCAACAAATCTCACCCTTACTACCCCATGCAGCACATTTGAGGATTTTGAGGCTGATCAACACAAAAGAGTAGTGTTTTTCACAATGAGCCATTTGGGTGCCATGCTGGGACAGGTAGCCTGCCAGGGGAAGTCCCCAGTGGCTGACACCCTGAGGTGGTGGCATGGGACCACCGCCCTACAAGGGCAGAGGGCAGGGTCGCTCTCGCTGGAGACAGGAGAAGTGGCTACAGGCCTGGTGATACTGGTGTGGCTCAATAGCAAATCCTGAGTCTTGCGTCAGAGCTCAGAAGGGCGGCAGCTGCGTGGGGTCTTTTATAGCCCAGGCTTTGTTTTATCTATAGGTAGCAGATGGAAGAAAGTTTCAAAAAGGATACAAAGCTGACACACTCTAAATGCCTAAAGATATTATGTGGGGCTATATGTAAAGCAATTGGATGTGGATAAATTTGCATTTGTCTCCAGCAGTCTTTGAGCTAATGGTCTCAACCTAATGTGAGGAAGTGGACATTAAAGGGTCAATTTAGGGGGCTATCTTTGTCTCATTTATATAACAATCCTTAGTTTCTGGGACATGAGGTAGAGCTAAAGATTATTTTTTTTCCAGGACCAGCATTGTAGCATAGCAGGGTAAGCTGCTGCCCTCGACGCTGGCCTCCTGTAAGAGTGCCAGTTCAAGTCCCAGCTGCTCTGCTTCCAGTCCAGCTCCATGCTATGCCAGTGTTTTCAGGAAAGCAGCAGATGATGGTCCAAGTGCTCAGGCCCTTGCCAACCATATGGGATACTATCTTGTATGGAGTTCCTGGCTCCTGGCTTGGGCCTGGCCTAGCCCTGGCTATTGTGGCCATTTGGGGAGTGTATCAGTAGATAGAGGAACTGTTCCTCTGTCACTCTGCCTTTCAAATAAGTAAAATCCTTTTGGAAAAAATTATTTTTTCCATATGGCTCTTCAGGTCCAGCACCATTTACTTAAAGGACCACCCTTGGTTACTGTGGCCTTTGTTGTAGTTCTGCTGATAATTTATGTGTGGATCCATTTCTAAATTGTTTATTTGCTTCTATTTGTGTACTTGTCTTTGTGCCAAGAACTTCACTGCCTTATTTAGGTCTTTATATTCTTTCAGTGAGGCTTTGTAATTTTCTCTGCAGAGGCCTTGTGCATATTTGAAGTTCATTCCTAGTTGGTAGTGTGTATATTTCTTGCTGACACAGTAAGTAGCATCATCTTAAACTTTCACTTTCTAATTATTCTTGACATGTAGAAATACAGTTCTATCTAGAGAGTGTTATATAGTGACGTTTTTATCCATTAATCTTGTGAAATTGACTACATATTTTTATACATATTCTAATAGCTCATCTGAAGATAAAATGTCATATGCAAATTCTAACAATTATATTGCTTCTTTCTTGTCCTTTTACATTTTTTCTTGGTTATTGCATTGGCTAATACCTTGAATTCAGTACTGAAGAGAAATGGTGCTCTTGATCTAAAGGGAAACATTTAGTCAGGCACCTTAACTACATGTAGGTTTTATGTAGGTGCCCTCAGTCAGATTAAGGGAATTCATATCTATTCCTAGTTTGCAAAACTCTTTATTTTTAAAATTATTTGTTTGAAAGTCAGAGTTAGAGGAGAGACAGAAGAATCTTCCATTTGCTGGTTCACTCCCCAGATGGTCGCAATGGTCAGGACTAGGCCAGGCCAAAGCCAGGATCCAGGAGCTTCACCTGAGTCTCCCATGTGGGTACCAGGAGCCTAAACACTTGGGCCATCTTATGCTGCTTTCCCCAGGCCATTATCAGGGAGCTGAATTGGAAGCAGAGTTGCCAGAATACCAACCAGTGCCCATATGGGATTCTGGCATTGCAGATGGTGCCTTTACCAGCTATGCCACAACACCGGACCAATAATTTGCTAAGTTCTTAACATGAATGGAAATGTCTCTTCCCATTCCTTTCATTCTGGTGGATTTATAAATTAAAATAATATATCTTGGGGTCGGCACTGACATAGCCAGTAAAGCGGCTGCCTGCAGTGCTGGTGTCCCATATGGGCACTGGTTCTAGTCCTGGCTGCTCTACTTCCAATCCAGCTCTCTACTATGGCCTGGGAAAGCAGTGGAAGATGGCCCAAGTCCTTGGGCCCCTGTACCCACATGGGAGACCCAAAAGAAGCTCCTGACTTTGGATCAGCCCAGATCCAGCTGTTGTGACCATTTGGGGAACAAACCAGTGGATGGAAGACTTTCTCCCCCAACTTCTGCCTCTCAATAAGTAAATCTTGCGTGTGTGTGTGTGTGTATTTTGAGAGAGGATTAAGCGCTTGTAGCCACTTCACCTTTTAAACTGGAAACTGTAGATGGATTGATTGATTTAAAATCTCTCCTATATGTGTGATTATGTCCCCTTTCTTATTCCTAATTTTTTTTTCTTAATCAGATGTCTTTGGCCTATGTACTTTTATCTATTCTAGTGATTTTGTTAACAAAATCTTGTTTGTCCTGTTTATTAATACAGGTTGGGTAACCTTTATCCAAAATGCTTGGTACCAGATAGATGTGTTTTAGACTTTAAATTTTTTTTTTGGTTTTGTAAGATTTGCATGTTACATAATGAGATATCTTGAATGGGACCTAAGTCTAAACATGAAAATTCATTTGTTTCATATACACCTTATACACATAGCCTGAAGGTAATTTATAAAATATTTTTAGTGCATTTACATTTTGACTGCAACCCATCACAGGAGGTCAAGTGTGAAATTTTCCAACTGTGGCCTCATGTTGGCACTTAAAAGGTTTAAAGTTTTGGAGCAGGTCATATTTCAAATTTTCAAATTAGGGATCATTAACCTTTATCTCATTTTATCCTTATTCTTTAATTTTTTGACAGGCAGAGTGGATAGTGAGAGTGAGAGTGAGAGAGAGAGAGAGACAGAGAGAAAGGTCTTCCTTTGCTGTTGGTTCACCCTCCAATGGCCGCTGCGGCCGGTGCGCTGCAGCCGGCGCACCACGCTGATCCGATGGCAGGAGCCAGGTGTTTCTCCTGGTCTCCCATGGGGTGCAGGGCCCAAGCACTTGGGCCATCCTCCACTGCCTTCCCGGGCCACAGCAGAGAGCTGGACTGGAAGAGGGGCAACCGGGACAGAATCCGGCGCCCCGACTGGGACTAGAACCCGGTGTGCCAGTGCCGCAAGGTGGAGGATTAGCCTAGTGAGCCACGGCGCTGGCCGAATAACTGTGTATTAATCACAGAGTTCAACCAGTGGTATTAAGTAGAACAAAAAGAACAACAACAAAACAAGTAAGTCTTCAAAAGAATAGAGGTGAAACTCACAGCTTGCCTAGTCATGACTGAGCTGATTTGGGGACAGTGTCAGGGATATCTCTAGGTGGCCATTCAAGTGTATGAAGCTACTCTAGGAAGTTCACAGGGAAATTGATTTTGGTGAAGACTTTTAAAAACCTATGTGCAGTTTTTCTGTAATACACAGTTCTCTCAGCTTTTAAAAAGACCCCTTATATACCTGGATTTCAAAATTTTGCCCCCAAATAATTATACACCAAAAGATTATCTTTCAATTGTACCTACACAAACTTTTTGAAGTCCCTTCATATTTAAGTAATGAGAACATGGATGTGACACTGAATGCTATGCCCAGAGGAACAGGCTTTTTCTAGCCCATACACCAGGGGTCACCACAGGGTTGTGAGGGCAGCTTCTCTTGGATTAGAAATTCCAGTGACCACCTCCTCCATTCACTCCCCACCAGTTTCCATGACCAACTCCAAGACCTTATTACCCCTGCGTTAAACATCCGTGTCACTCCCAAGTACCCACTATTATTCCCCCATTCCAGCAGTCTTCCCACCTTGACTGCCTAGACGATTTTGGCTCTGCTACCCTGCCATGCGGGGTCACTCAGCCATGCTGCTATTCACTCAACCGCACCGCCATCAGTCACACTGCCCTTCGTCTCCCCATTCACCCCACACACTCACGTTTACTTAACTTTTTACTCTAGTAACTCACTCCAGGGGATGTGTCCCTTACTGCAGCCCATTTATTCACCCCCATACTTTCCCTTCTAGGTCTCTGCCTCACTCACCTCCGTTTGCCCACAAGTGGCCCATCTGTGTCCCAGGAAGCCGGAGTCCAAGAGCCGTGGGAAATGGTAAGACGCAAGATGACCCTTAATGGATGTGAAACCCCAGGGAGGTTCTCCAGCAGTAAGAAGATGGGAGGTTTTGTTTTCAGCATCCCAGAAGACTGCGTCAGGGGCAAGTTGTTGAGCCCACGTCCTCTCCCTGGAAAGGCACTGAATGTGTTTGTCATGAAAAAAAAAAAAAGTGAGCCAAAGGCTCATTTCCTTGCAGAATAATTCAGGAAAAATGGCAGCCTGCGAGAGCACAGACAGGGTGTCAGGGCTATGTCACTAGCCTGTTTGACGGATAGGTTTTATGTAGTGTGGGTTACCCTTTTCTACAGAAATGGTCCCAGTGAAAAAGCACATTAACCCAAGGGTCAGAAATACAGCGATTCCCAAGCAGGGCCTTTTGTTCTGGAGCAAATGACCTGGTTAAGTAATTTCCGGCTGTGTTCATTGAGACCACGGCTTTCAACCTCTCACATTGGAAAAGACAAGGTCACTACTGCTGGTGACGCTTAGGAGAAAGTTAGTCAACCTCTGTGTGGACTCAGCTTTAGTACCTCTCAAACAGTATACATCTCTGTATATGAATGAAGGAATCAGAATCATTTTGCTAAGATACAGACACTGGTGGGCTTCAGTGTAGGATATTTTCAGATATCACTTTGTCTAGGAAGAAATATGCTCCCATCTTAATTATTTTCGGTTTACTTAATGTGGTCCCAGCTGACCCAGGAATCACTTTAATGCCTAAGTGCCTTTGGAATTCATGGACTCTGCTCTGTTCGCCTGGTTATTTGATTTGTTCAGTTGGAAAAAAAATGGTTAGATTCTACTGAGTGTTATCTACTCATTAAATGTTTTCAAATCCTGTATCTAGACTCTAACAGTAATACAGCATGCTTTTTTTTCTAAGTTTTATTTAGTTTTGAAAAGGTAGGACATCCATACAGTATAATTTTCCAAAGCTATGAAATGACACACAGTTGTCTCCCTCCCAAGTCCATCCCCCCAGCTACCCATTGCCACTTACCCAGGTAATCGGTTACCAGATTCTTGTGTGTCTTTCCAGTGATATTTAATGCATATACACTCAATTATGTACTTAGCCATTTCCCTTTTTTATATACAAATGGTAGCATGTTACACTCACTATCCTGCACCTTGCTCCTCCTACCTAATAACAGAATATGGCGATTATCCAACATCACTCTATAAATGGTATCCAAGTTCTCCTTATTCATTTCTGTCTACCTAGGAGTTTGCCATATGAACATACTACAATCTGGGGGACCAAAACCCTCGTGGTGGCATTTGGACTGCTTCCAATCTTTTGTTTGCATAAACAGTGCATCAGTGAATACCTCTGTGTGTTAATCGTTTTGTACATGTAATTACACTCCTAGAAGTGTACCTGTGGTATTCAACTTTTGAATCTTCTTTGAGAAGAGTTTTTCCTGGACTTTTAAGGGCTGTATTTTCTAACAACCGGGTATCCCTACACACTTAATTATTTCAGGCTTCTCCTGAGTTGGTGAATAAGGGTGGCTGGAGCGTTATTCAAAGACACCCTGCACTGTACCCCCCAGTGCATCCTGAACCTCAGCTGAGAGTCTACCCACTGCTGTCTCACATCTGCAGCCTTGGGTACCTTCTCTCTCTCAAATTTCCTACACCAATGCTGGATCCCCTCTGCCCCTGGAAGCCCTCTCCTCATTTTGTTAACACTTCTGCAGTTTTTGGGTGAACTTACTCCCCACATTTAAACCATCAAAAAGAACATACTTGCAAAGTAGCGAATTTGACACTACTTTTCTTCAGTGTGTGTTGATTTAGTCTAATGCCCAATAAGCTTTGGCTTCCGGCTGTGGCTTCTCCCATGGGCCTTTTTCCCCGTGTGGGTTCTCTGATGTACAATGAGGTTTGATTTTTGGGTAAAGGCTTTCCCACATTCTGTACACTTGTAGGGTTTCTCTCCAGTATGAGTTCTTTGGTGTACAGTGAATGTCGATTTTTCTCTGAAGGCTTTCCCACACTCGGTGCACGCGTAAGGTTTCTCTCCTGTGTGAGTTCGCTGATGTATTATAAGTTGTGACTTCTGACTAAAAGCCTTCCAACACACAGGACATTCATAGGGTTTCTCTCCTGTGTGAATTCTCTGATGTATAATGAGCTTGGACTTTTCTCTGAAGGCTTTGCCACATTCATTGCATTTATAGGGCTTTTCTTCTGTATGAGTTCTTTGATGTATAATGAGATAGGACTTCTGGGAAAAGGCTTTTTCACATTCATTGCACTCATAGGGTTTCTCTCCTGTATGACCCCTCTGATGTAACATGAGATAGGATTTCTGAGAGAAGGCTTTCTCACATTCATTGCATTCGAAGGGTTTCTCTCCTGAATGAGTTCTCTGATGCACACCAAGGTTTGACTTTTGGGTGAAGGTTTTCCCACACACATCACATTCGTAGGGTTTCTCTCCTGTATGTGTTCTCTGATGAACGATGAGGGTTGACTTCTCATTGAAAGACTTCCCACATTCAGTACACTTATGGGGTTTCTCTCCTGTATGAGTTCTTTGATGTATGACAAGGGTTGACTTGTCACTGAAGGTTTTCTTGCACTCATTACACTCATGGGGTTTCTTTCCCGTATGAGTACTATGATGTAGGATCAGATCGAGCTTCTGGAGGAAGGATTCCCCGCATCTGGTGCACCCATAGGTCTTCTCCCCTGTGTGGGTCTTCTGATGGACAATGAGGTTTGACTTCTGAGTGAAGGCTTTCCCACACTCGTTGCACTCGTAAGGCTTCTCTCCTGTGTGAGTCCTGTAATGGATGATGACAGTGGACTTTTCTCGGAAGGCTTTCCCACACTCGGGACACTCAAAGGGTCTCTCTCCTGTGTGCGTCCTAAGGTGAATGATAAGCTGAGACTTTTGGCTAAAGGCTTTTCCACATTCAGTACAGCCAAAAGGTTTCTCTCCCGTGTGAGTTCTCCAGTGTACAATGAGGTGGGACTTCTTGCTGAAGGTCTTCCTACAGGCGGTACATTCAAAAGGTTTCTCTCCATTTTTAATTCTCTGATGCAGACTAAGCCCTTTCTTTCGTCTGAGGGCTTTACCACACTCTTTATAGCCATAGGGTTTCACTCCAGGATTTGTTTTCTCATACTCGGTATGGAAGAATAATTTTGCACATCCACTACCATGTTTCTTTTCTGTAGAGCTTCTAAATAAGTCCAAATTATCTACCATATTATTTCCAAACAATTCATACTTATGGGGTCTTTGTATTGAAGTGACAAGGCTGGAGTTCAGATGAAGTGTATCACCAAATTCATTATAGTTACGGCTACTTTTGGTAGTGCCTGTTTTCTTGTCAGGGAATCCAAATGGCATCAACACACAGCTATCTTGGTAATCCTGCTGCTGCCTCTTGATCTGTTCATCAACGTGGCCAACTTCTTCTAGAAAGAACAACAAACCATCTTTATAGTGTGACATTATGAAAGGAATCTTCCTTAGAAATGTCCAACCATGCAGAAGATGACACTCTGATCAGAGTTCCTGGACAGAGTCTTTTACAAAACCTCCACAATCCTATACTGACACCTCAGCCTTTCTTACCTGTACTTCTATAGCATCTCTTGACTTCCATCAACTCTGGGGATCTTATCTACCTTAACCTTCAGTTACTATGTGAACTCTTACCCGTACCTGATTTAAACTATTTCCAATGAGAAAGAAATGCAACAGGATGGTACCTAGACTCAAGGCTTAAAATAACCTGGAATCTACATTCTCAGTGGATAACAGAAAAAGAAGCTTGACAGAAACAACCTAAAGATTGTTACTTAATGTGGCTTTACTTGGATATCCATCCAAGCTTTCATTCACAGTGCTTCAACACCACCTCTTCTGCTTCTGCCTACACTATCTCCACTAAAACTGTGGCTATTATTAACTCCAAAGCAGTTGTCATGTTCCATCACCACCTGGCCCTGTCCTACATATTTTGCTAAATTCAGAATCTAGACAATCTAACTTTCAAGAGGCAGTTCAGTATTTCTAAAAACGTATACTCTGAAAACTTAATTTTTCTTAACTTCTGAAGTAGGTGGTCATCTGTATCACTCATTTAGAGAAAATCTTGTAAAACCTCGCATTTCACCCATTACATGTACAATATTTCACATTTTAATACCTCTGAATCCAGATGCATATTATACTCAATGGCATATCAGATTAATTGATGGCAATTTCTTCTAGTGTATGTATTAAAATGAAAAGTATCTTCAAAAGTTAATATAGTAAATATTTCTTGCATTTGTTTTTCCAGAATTATAAAGTTTTTCAGGCACGGAGAAAAGCTAAAAGTACAGTAACTATTCATATTACTGCTTAGATTTGGTAATGTCAACATTTTGCCATAGTAATGCAAGTGAAGCATTCCTAATATCAAAATCCAAACTGATATGAAACTTGATCTTTTTGAATGTCATGTCTCAGATCTGGGAGCATTTTACATTTTCAGAGATGCTCAACCAGTAAAGTCTATGCAAATATTCCAAAATTCAAAAAATTCCAGAATCTTGAAACATTTTGATCCCAAATATTTTGGCTAAGGAACACTGAATCTGTGCTGAATTTTAAAATGGATCATTCAGGTGTAGTTTCCCTTCTTGAGACTTCCTAACCAGAGATGAACACAGAATCAGAAGAGCTTTTACAAAATGTACTGGGTGAGACCTAAGCGCCAGCAAGGATCTGCTGAAGCAGTACGGCCCATGTGCTTAGCGCGTGGCTCTCTAGTCCAACCTGTGACCTTAGGTCATTGATCTAATCTATTTGTATTTTACTTTCATGCCTGTAGTACAGGAATTATAACATTGACTGAACAAATGGATGTTAAAGTGATTAAATTACTTAGAATAGGTCACACATGGCACATAGGAAGTGCTTTAAAATGTACATTACCACAACAATATTGCTATTGTTATAAGGAACCATATTACTGTGAAAAAGTATTTCTATGTACTTAATATTCAAGCAGATGTTTTAGTGAAAAAATAAACTGTCCAACAGGGTACCCTTTTTCTAAGAAAATGAATATATAAAGGAAATAGGATGGAGAAGGAAAGATGATAGACTTCTCTGAATATGCCTTGTTATTTAGATGGTATATTAGAACTAAATAATCATAAGTCAACATGGAACAAAGAGTTCCCTAATAGTAAACCTCCCTTTGTCCTTTCCTAATGACCATGTTCAAAAGTCTTGATTCTCAATGGCACCAATATGGTTACATCAACTGATTCAACTCACTATATACATACAACAGTGTCAGAATATTAAAATTATCAGTTGTAAGATTAATTAAAATCTAAGTCCAGAATATAATCTGAAAATATTAATTTGAATACACAAGGTATTTTTTTCCTTTAAAAATGTAAACATAATTCCTGGCTCTGTCAATGAAAAAGCACCAGGGCTCCTTAGAGAAATGGCCAATTCCAGGCCAGAGATAGGAAATAGACAAAATACATTCTTTAACAAACCTAGATTGTCTTATAATGCCAGAAAGCAAGGAAGTTGCCAAAGATCAGATGGTTTGATTTGTGATAATGCAATGGATTCAGTGATATATAAGAAAAGACATAACTAATTGGTTACCTTTGAATGATGCTACAAAACCAACTCCTGAAAACTGGTAGGTAGAAAACTTAATAGAAAGACAGGGTAACTCATGTTAACCAAATAATAGATGAAGGGCATTTCTCTTTATATAGAAGTATTCTAGACAATCAACAAAGAAGATGTGATGTAATTAAAATGTCACCATTTCCCAACCATTAATGAATTAATGCATCTAAGCTATAGTCACAAATGACACAAAACAGAGAGAACTATGCATTATATGCCTACTGGAGGAATGAGCTAGGGTGTAATCTTGCTAAAGAAAACTAAAAACTTGAATCGGACTCACCTTCTAGATCTAACAACAGCAAAAGACAGAGAACAAAGGACTATAAATAAGTAAATACCTCCTGGTGGTATTTACTTAGAATGTGGAAAACTAAAGGACAATTGATACAGTTAAAGAAATACAAGGGTACTTCAAAAAGTTCATAGAAAATGTATATTATGAAAAAGCTATGAATGGACTTTAAAAATGTCTTTGCACCCAAAGAAATGTAACATTTCATTCCATTTTCTATAAACATTTTGAACTCATACAAGGGGATAAAAGATACAGGAATCTGAGTAGCTATGCACAGACATCAGTCCTGAGTTCTAAAAACACTCCCACTAATAGCAATCAGACATCCTTGGTGAAGTTTCTGATCCCAGGTCTAAACCAGGGAGAGGACAAGGTGAACCTGGAAGGTATTCTTGTACTAGAAAGTGAGAAGTGCTCAATGCTAGGGACATGTTAAAATGACAGAGGTGCCAGCCTGAAGGGACTTCTGCTAGATAAATTAAGGACATCTTGAACTTGAAAATGAATGAACTGTGAAAAAATAAGAATCAGTCATCTTTGTAATAACTGCTTCAGGCAAGAACCAGTGAATGTTAAAAGCTTTGGGATATCTTTAAAAGATTTTTATTTATTTGAAAGGCAGAGAGAGATACCTTGCATCTCCTGGTTCACTCCCCTAATGGCCACAACAGCCGGGGAGGGGCCCAGCTAAAGCCAGGAACCACAAGTTTCTTCCAGGTTTCTTATGTGGGGAGCAGGGGCCCAAACACTTGGGCTATCCTCTGCTGCTTAGCAGGGAGCTGGATGGGAAGTGGAGCAGTTGAGTCTTGAACCAGTGCCCATACGGGATGCCAGAGTTGCAGGAAGTAGCTTAACCCACTCAGCCACAATGCTAGCCCCTACCTTTCAGATTTCAATAATAGGATATTCACACAGTTTGGCAGTTCTTCAAAATGTTAAACACATAGTACACTGATATAACAATTCCAATCCTGTGTATGAGGGTTCTTCAAAATGCTCATGGAAAATGGAATTAAAAGATCAGGGGTTTTTTGGCATGAAAGATCTGAAATCCCTGCATAGCTTTTTCATACTACAGAGTTTCCATGAACTTTTTGAAGATTCCCCATACCTACCCAAAGAAAACCACAAAAAACCTTGTACATGAATGTTCATAGCAGCAGCATTCCTAAGTCAAAAAGAAAAAAACAGTGCTGCAGCTCACTTGACTAATCCTCCGCCTGCGGCACCAGCACCCCAGGTTCTAGTCCCAGTTGGGGTACTGGATTCTGTCCTGGTTGCTCCTCTTTCAGTAGGCAGTGGAGGATGGCCCAAGTGCTTGGGCCCTGCACCTGCATGGGAGACTGGGAGGAAGCACCTGGCTCCTGGCTTCAGATTGGCGCAGCGCCGGTTATAGTGGCCATTTGGGGGGTGAACCAACGGAAGGAAGACTTTTCTCTCTAACTCTGCCTGTCAAAAAAAATGTCCATCAATAGATGAATGGATAATGTTATCTAGCCATACTATGGAACGTAAGTCCTCCAAAAGGGGCCAGCATTGTGGCAGTCAGCTGGGCAGCCGCCCGTAATACCAGCATCCCACGTGAGCACCAGCTTGAGTACCCGCTGCTCTATTTCTGATACAGCTTCCTGCTAATGTGCATTGCAAAGCAGCAGAAGATGGTCCGAGTACTCGGGCCCCTGCTACCCACATGGGAGAGACAGATGGAGTTCCAGGCTCTTGGCTTCAGCCTGGCCCAGCCAGAGCTGGTGCAGATATTTGTGGGGTGAACCAGCGGATAGAAGCTCTTTCCCTAACTCTAGCTTTCAAATAAATTATTTTTAAAAAGGAATGGAGTACAGATGCCACAGCATGAAAACAGGTCTACTGAAAGAAACCAGGAAGAAAAGGCTACGTTTTTTATATGAGATGTCCAGAATAGGCAAAATCAGACAGAAAGTACATTAGTGACTGGTAGAGAATGGTGGGCAAAAGGAATGGAAAGCACGGCTAAGAGTTAAGCTTGCTTTTGGTGGTGATGAAACGAAGAATTACCAATGATGGCTGTACAATTCTGAATATACTGAAACCACTGAGTTGTTGACTCTTCAAAGGTGGATTTTATGACATGAGAATTCTCTCACTAAAACTATTGTAAGCAATAGAAAATCAAGGCATTTTAACTGTTAAGTCTACAAATCTGTTCTAAACAGGAGTGTCTCAGCTGAATAAGAAGAATGGACTCAGGTAGTCCAATTTGGAATTGGAGCATTCAAGTCCAGGCCCGTGGCTAACAGGGGCCTGGCTTCAGGTAAGCCAGTGACAGATGAGAGTCCTGGAAGGGAATGAGGCATTTATACACAAGTCAGAGGGAACTATGCAGAAACTTTCAGGTAAGCGTCAGCCAAGGGAGAGTGGCCCACGGAGAGGCAGGGCAGGGCAGGGGGTGTCAGTCCTAATGTCTGGGGTGTTCATGTCCCTGTCCTCTAGCACCAGAGGGCCACAAACTTTCTCCAAGATAAATTCCTGAAAGCCCTTTCCAGGGAAGCCTCACCCGAATGATAGGTTGAGACCTTCTGTCCTCAGAGCCTGGTTCAATGCCACTTACCCAGAAAGTTCCAAATCGGGATTTTTCCTTCTGGGTACAGCTCTTCTGCTTCCAACCTGAGGATGAGGTCTGGTTTGGTGACCTGTTGCCCTGTGAATGAGAAATGACAGGGTACTTCCTTGTTCTTTAGAGCCTCAGAGACAGCAAACTTGCAGTTTGGAGGCAGCACCAGGGACCTATTGCTTCGCACATGAGCAAGTCAAACCATTTAATTCTGGGTTTCAAGGTCACAAATACCGTGTCGGGAGGCCGGCGCCGTGGCTCACTTTGTTAATTCTCTGCCTGCAGTGCCAGCATCCCATGTGGGTGCCGGGTTCTAGTCCCAGTTGCTCCTCTTCCAGGCCAGCTCTCTGCTATGGCCCAGGAAGGCAGTGTAGGATGGCCCAAGTGCTTGGGGCCCTGCACCCACATGGGAGACCAGGAGGAAGCACCTGGCTCCTGCCTTCGGATCAGCGCAGCGCCAGCTGTAGCAGCCATTTGGGGGGTGAACCAACAGAAGGAAGACCTTTCTCTCTGTCTCTCTCTCACTGTCTAACTCTGTCAAATAAATTTTAAAAAAATACCGTGTCGGGAGAGAAAAGGGGGAAATTGAAAAGAGAAGGCCCTCGACCGGACATAATCATCCTAAACAGCAAAATCAGCCAAGGAGGCCACTCTTACCCACAGAGACCAGGTTGCTGTAGGCCTCCAGCATCACATCTCTGTACAGAGTCCTCTGTTGAGGGTTCAGGTACTGCCACTCCTCCTGGGAGAAATCCACAGCCACGTCCTCAAATGTCACAAGTGCCTGTAATAGTACATTTCTTTTATCCTAAAATGACAGATAAAGCCACCACTTTCAATGCCAGCATCCCATACTGGAGTGCTGGTTCAAGTCCTGAGTGTTCTGTTTCTGACCCAGCTCCCTGATAATGTACCTCAAAGGCAATGGATGATAACCCAAGCACCTGAGTCCCTGCCACCCACATGGGCCACCTGGAGGGAGTTCCAGGCTCCTAGCTTTGGCCTGGCTCAGTCCTGCCTATTGTAGCCAGGTGGGGAGTGAACTAGCAGATGGACAATCTGCATCTCCCGCTTTCTTTCAAATTTTAAAAGAAAATGCTCGGGGCTGGTGCTGTGGCATAGCAAGTTAAGCTGCCGTCTGCAGTGCCAGCATCCCATATGGGTGCCAATTCAAGTCCAGACTGCTCCACTTCTGATCCAGCTCTCTGCTATAGCTTGGAAAAGCAGTAGAAGATGGCCCAAGTCCTTGGGCCCCTGCGCCCACGAGGGGGACCTGGAAGAAGCTCATGGCTCCTGGTTTCAGATTGGCACAGCTCCAGCCATTGCAACCAATTGGGGAGTGAACCAGAAGATGGAAGACCTCTCTTTCTGCCTCTCCTCCTCTCTCTGTGTAACTCTTTCAAATAAATCTTTTTAAAAAACGCTCACCATTGGGTGATGAGGATAGAATGTAGGGAAAAGTCTGATTGGGTTCCCAGTGCACCATGATGACTTAATATAGCATGTCTATTTCATATCAAGTTAGTAACCTACTTTGTGGGAGAATCACAAGTTATGGTATAAAAACTATTCCATTAGGTAATATGATATTAAAAATGTGATATTACCCTAAGCATGGACAAACAGTCCAGTGGAACTAAAAAGAATCCAAACATGTATAGACACACACCTGATTTATGACAAAGTCAGCTTAGTAAGCAGTAGGAAGGTGATCTTTTTAATAAATGTAGATGGCTTACTGAATATCTACCTGGAGGGGAAATTAAATTTATTCCCTCTGACCATACACAAAAATCAGCTACAGATAAACTGTATAATGTGAGGTGACACAAGTGTCTATAGAGTAACTGGAGGGCCCTCTGCTTCCTCCTTTTTCTCCTGACCTTGCTGGAACACAGTGCCTATACTGCTGTGTAACCAGGCCAGCTGCATGGTATTCCCAGCAGTCTTGAACTCAAGTTGGGACCTTGAACGTTCCCAGGCACTGAGAAAGGTGTTTAGGTTGTTGCCCAAAACACTGAGAGAAACCAGCCCTGGCCCCGAGTCAAGTTCCTCAAGCTTCTCCCATCAAACCCAATACTCTGCCACCTTGGTGTGAACACCCCTTGGTAGGACATCCGTTTCTCTCATTGTCCATCATGAGACAGGGGACTGAAGCCCTTTCTGTAAGTGAGATCCTCAAAAAAATGCTCTGGACTGATAATCCTGGCTTTTAGCACCTTTCTTTGGAATCCCAAAAGGTCCCACTCTCTTGTAGGAAACTCCCCTGCCACCATTTTTGGGTAGCTCCAGCTGTGAGTTCAATAAGTCAAAACAATAGAGAAAAATGTTTCCTAAGCTTGGGATAGGGAAAGAATTCCAAAGCAAGATATGAAAAGCACTACTCGTAAAGGAAAAGCCTTGTGTTATAAACATAAAAGTAGGGCAGTGAAAGGCAAGCTACAGATGGGGCCATTATCTGCTGCAGTCATGAGAATTAAAGGCATCTTACATGGAATATACAAAATAACAAAGAAGAATGGGCAAGAGAAGTAAACAGGTACATATCAGTAAAAGCCAAATGACCAGGGCTGGCACTGTGGCGCAATGGTTTAAAGACCCAGCCTGCAATACCAACATTCCATATGGGCGCCAGTTCAACTACCAGCTGCTCCACTTTTAATCCAGCTCCCTGCTAATGTGCCTGGGAAAGCAGCAGAAGATGGCTCCAAGTACTTGGGCCCTTGCACACATGTGGGAGACCCAGAGGAAGCTCCTGGCTTTGGATTGGCTCATCTCTGGCTGTTGCTGCTATTTGGCAAGTGAACCAGGGGATGGAAGACCTCTCTCTGTAACTCTTTCAAATAAATAAAAATAAATCTCTTTAAAAAAAAAATCACCAGGGCCAGCGCTGTTGCTTAATAGGCTAAGCCTCTGCCTACAGTGCCAGCATCCCATATGGGTGTTGGTTTGTGTCCTGGCTGCTCTTCTTCCAATCTAGCTCTCTGCTATGGCCTGGGAAAGCAGTGAAAGATGGCCCAAGTGCTTGGGTCCCTGCATATATATGGGAGACCTGAAAGAAGCTCCTAGCTTCAGATAGGCCCAACCCCGGCCATTGCAGCCATATGGGGAGTAACCAGCAGATGGAAGACATTATTTCTGTTTCTTTCTCTCACTCCCAAATTTTAAAAAAAATGACCTATGAACATAAAAAGAAAATGTACTCAACCCCCTTACCATCCAGGTAAATGAAAATTTAAGCCACACAGAGATACTACTTAGGCACCAACCAGAAAAGTTACAATTGTGCAGACTAAAATACCATAACGTTGTTTTGAAATGTGAACACTGTTAGGAATGTAAACTGATATAATCTCTTTGGTGAAACAGGCTAGCATTACTTACTGAAGCGAATGATGTGCATATACCGTGACCCAGAATCTGACTCTGATGTAGACTTTCAAACCTTGGGGAAAAGCATGTACATGTGCTCTGGAAAACAAGTACAGCCATGTTCACGGCAGCACCAACTATTCCTAATACCAAATCAAAGCAGGGGCGGGAGGCAACCCATGCACAACAGAGTGGGCAGGTTGCGGCACAGTCATACAATGCAATGAACTACCACTTCACACTGGCTCCAAAGAGACATAGCATCCACACACACAAGGTATGCGGGGTAGGTTTATTAGAGACAGCAAGGGACAACAGAGGCTCATTGTGGGCTGGTCCCCCCAAGGCTCAGGAAAGCGGGCGAGGTGGGTGGGGTCTTGTTTGCAAGTGCTTGGGCCCCTGCCACCCATGTGGGAGACCAGGATAGGGTTCTTGGTTCCTGACTTTAGCCTTGCCCATCCCCAGCTATTGCAGGCATTTGGGAAATGAAACAGAAAATGGAAGACCTCTCTCCCTCTCCCTGTCACTCTGTCTTTCAAAGAAAAAAAATTTTAAGTAGCTTACAGGCAATCAAGAATCAATCCAACTATACAAATCCAAACCTCTCCATATAGTCTCCAAAAACTATACACATCAACATGAAGAACATGAAAACCACATATCACCTATGCCTTCAGAATATATAACATAGCAGAAAATAGACTATTGTCACTTTCTAATTATCTATAAGGAAAACAAAAGTACCAAATTCCAGCACAACTGTTTTTCAAACTCCTGCCATGAACCTTTGTAGACCTCAAGGAGGGTCTGAAAGACCAGTAAATAAGACAGAAGAGGGGAGTGGAGAGCCTGAAGGTGAGCTGAAATCACACTTGGAAAATCTACCATAAGGATGAAAATACTGAAAGAAAGGCTAGGCGTATCAGAACACCAGCTACAGGAAAGGTGTGCAGGACCCAAGGTAGCAGTCACCAAAACAAAACAAACCACCATTTTTAAGGGAGAAAACCAGGTGCTTTACCCGGGTCTCCCTTGTGGATGCAGAAGCCCAAGCACTTGGGTCATCCTCCATTGCCTTCCCAGGCGCATTAGCAGGGAGCTGGATAGGAAGTGGAGCAGCTGGGACTTAAATCAGCAAGCAGAGGTTCACAGCTCCAACCCCATAGATAGACAAAATTTTTTTAATCTCTTTTTTTTTTTTTTTTGACAGGCAGAGTGGACAGTGAGAGAGAGAGACAGAGAGAAAGGTCTTCCTTTGCCATTGGTTCACCCTCCAATGGCCGCCGCGGCCTGCGCGCTGCGGCTGGCGCACTGCGCTGATCTGATGGCAGGAGCCAAGTGCTTCTCCTGGTCTCCCATGGGGTGCAGGGCCCAAGTACTTGGGCCATCCTCCACTGCTTTCCCGGGCCACAGCAGAGAGCTGGCCTGGAAGAGGGGCAACCGGGACAGAATCCGGCGCCCTGACCGGGACTAGAACCCGGTGTGCTGGCGCCCCAGGCAGAGGATTAGCCTAGTGAGCAGCGGCGCCGGCCATTAATATCTCTTTCAATCACAATGGAATGAAACTAGAAATCAGTAGAAAACTGGAAAAATTGGTGAAAATTAGACAATACACTCCCAAACAATAATTATAAGAGAACTTAGAAAATGCCTTGAGACAAATGAAAATGAAACACGACATACGAAACATACAGGATGAAGTGAAAGCAGTACTAACAGGGAAATTTATACCTATTAATGCATCAAAAAAAAAAAAAGAAAAATCTCAAATCAACAACGCTTGTTATTCACAGTGGGCTCCTAGGTAGCTTAAGCTAAGGAAATAACTCAGATGAGGCTGACCAAGACAGAAAAACCTATCAGGTGATTAGAGGGTGATTTAATCCATTTCTGCTGAATACCTGAGACTGGATCATTTATAATCACCAAAATTGTATTGCTCACAGTTCTTGAGGCTGAGAAGTCCAAGATCAAGGTGTTGGCAACTGGCAGGGGAAGAAGGCAAGAGACGGAAAGAAGGGACCAAATTCACCCTTTTATAGCAGTGCCAAACCCACTCCCGACAGTGGAGCCCTTATCACCTCTTAAAAGCCCACCTCTGAATACTTTTGCATAGGCAATTAAACTCCAACATGGTTTTGGAGGGAACAAGCATTCAATCCATAGAAAAGACTTCACAGTTTGAGCCACGTGATAGCAGCCCAACCTCCAGGGAAGAGACAGGGGCTGAAAACCGAGTTCAACCTTGTGGCCAATGATTCAATCACATTCCAGACACCAAAACCATGGTTAACTTCCCTGGTCATCAATACTTTGCATGTTGTCACTTCTTGACGTGCTCTAGGATAGGAAAATGAAGGGGAACTACAACAGTTTCTACAGTTTACTACAACAGCTGGAACCCTCCCAGACCTCAGCCTATGCATCTCTTCCCTT